AATATGTATTCTTTTCTTCAGTATACGGAACATTCTCCAAGATAGACCATATAATGGGTCACAAAACAAGTCTCAATAAATTTAAGAAAAGAAATTATATCAAATACACCCTCAGACCACTGTGAGATAAAGCTGGAAATTAACTCCAAAAGGAACCCTCAAAACTATACAAATACATTATAATAAATAGTCTTCTCTAGAATAATCTTTGGGTCAGCAATGAAATCAAGATAGAAATTTTTAAAAATTCCTTGAGCTGAACAGTTATAGTGAGACAACTTACCACAGAAATACAAAAAATCATTCAAGGCAACTATGAACACCTTTACACATACAAACTAGAAAATCTAGAGGAGGTGGATGAAATATACAATCTTCCCAGATTAAGTCAGAAAGAAATAGGGATTCTGAACAGACCAATAACAAGTAGCAAGATTGAAATAGTAGTAAAATAATTACCAAGAAAAATGCCCAGGATGAAACAGGTTCACAGCTGAATTCTATCAGACATCCAAAGAAGAATTGGTACCAATCTTACTAAAACTATCCCAAAAGACAGCGAAAAAGGGAATCCTCCTTACATCATATTAATATCCCTGATAAACATAGATGCAAAAGTTCTCAACAAAATACTAGCTAACCAAATTTAACAGCATATCCAAAAGATATTCCTCCATGATCAAGTGGATTTTATACTGGGGATTGAAGGAATGGCTTAACATACACAAATCAATAAGTGTGATATACCACATTACAGAATTAAAAACAAAAATCATATAATCATCTCAATAGATGCAGAAAAATTGAACAAAATCCAGCATCCCCTTATGATTAAAACCTTTAGCAAAATTGGCATATAAGGGACATACTTCAAGATAATAAAAGCAGTCTATGACCAACCCACAGCCAACATTATACTGAATGGGGAAAAGTTGAAAGCATTCTCCTCGAGAACTGGAACAAGACAAGGATGTCCACTTTCACCACTTCTATTCAACATAGTACTGGAAGTCCTAGCAAAAGCAAACAGACAAGAGAAAGAAATAAAGAGAATCCAAATCAGTAAAGAGAAAGTCAAACTGTTGCTGTTCACCAGTAATATGATTATATAACTAAAACACCCTAAAGACACATCAAAAAAACTCCTAGATCAGATAAATGAATTCAGTAGAGTTTCAGGATACAAAACCGTCATACACAAATCAGTAGAACTTCTATATGCCAAAAATGGGCAAGCCGAGAAACAAATCAAGAACTCAATCCCTTTTACAACAGCCACAGAAAAGTATAATGCTTAAGAATAAACAGCCATTCAAAAAAAAAAAAAAAAAAAAACTGTACAACTGCTGTGTATTTGTGATTGGGAATGGTGCTTTTGCCAACTTAAAAGGATTAAAGTAGAGGAGATATACAGAAATTTAAAAATGATGTGTGATCATAAGACTTAAGATAATTAAAAAGAAAACCACAGATTAAAAAAAAAAAGAATATACCTAGTCAAAGAGGTGCAAGATCTCTACAAGAAAAAATACAAAACACTGCTGGAAGAAATAATCTATGACACAAACAAATGGAAACACATTCCATGCTCATGGATGGGCAGAATTAATATTGTGAAAATGACCAGACTGCAAAAAGCAATCTACAAATTCAATGCAATTCCCAACAAGATAACACCATCATTCTTCACAGAACTAGAAAAAACCTAAAATTCATATGGAACCAAAAAAAGAGATCACATAGCTAAAGTAAGACTAAGCAACAAAAACAACAAAATAACCTGGAAGTATCACATAACCTGATTTCAGGAGATATATATATATATATATATATATATATATATATATATATATATATGTACACACACACACACCCCATGGAATACTACTCAGCCATAAAAAATGAATGAGACCTACTGCTCAGAAAAGAGTACTATTTTAAAAATAGTATTGGTCATTGGCAGTACATCGAGTTACTGAAGAGTTTTGATGGAGATTACAAGGAAATTAATGTTGTTTTCATTCCTGCCAATACAACATTCATTCTGTAACACGTGGATCAAGAAGTAATTTTGACATCCAGGTCTTACTGTTTATGAAATACTTTTCATAAGGCTACAGTTGCCATAGATAGCGATTTCTTTGATGTACCTGAGCAAAGTATACTGAAAACTTTCTGGAAAGGAGTCACCATTTTAGATACCACTAAGAACATTTGTGATTCATGCAAGGAGGTAATAAAAAAAATCAACAATAACAGGAGTACAAAATAATTTGATTCCAACCCTCCTGGATGACTTGGAGGGGTTCAAGACCTCAGTGGAGGAAATAGCCTGAGATGTGGTGAACTAGAATTAGAAGTGGCACCTGAAGAGGAGGCTGAATTGCTGCAATCTCATGATGAAGTTTTTAAGAGATGAGGAAGTGCTTCTTACAGATGAGCAAAGAAACTAATTCCTTAAGATGGAAACTGCTCCTGACAAAGAAGTTGTAAACATTGTTGAAATGACAATAAAGGATTTAGAACATTTCATAAACTTAGTTAATAAAGTAGTGGCATGGCTTGAGAGGACTGACTCCAATTTTGAAAGTTCCACTGGTGGTAAAATGCTGTCAGACAGCATCACGTGCTCAAAAGAGGTCTTTTGTGAAAGGAAGAGATCATCAATGTACAAAATTAATTGTTGTCTTATTTTAAGAAATTGTCACAGCCACCCAACCTTCATCAACCACCAGCCTGATCAGTCAGCAGCCATCAACATTAAGGCAATGACTGATGGCAATCAGATGGTAACTAGATCCACCAGCAAAAAGATTGACTCACAGAAGGCTCATATGATCGTTAGCATTTTTTGGTAATAAAGTATTTTCAATTAAGGCATGTATATATTTTTAAAGACATAGTGCTATTGCACACTTCATTGACAGCAGTTCAGTATAAACATAATTTTTATATGCACTGGGAAACCAAAAAGTTAGCATGACTGGCCTTATACCAATATTCTTTTATTTTGGTGGTCTAGGATTCAATGCACAGTTTTATGGAAGTGTGCTTGTATTTCATAGCTGGATACCCTTACATTTTTGTTTTTCTAACCTGCAGAATGTGAAATTGCAAAGTTTCTTCTTCTTTCTACTGGATGGAGAACAAGGCTCATCCTCCTGGCATGCTTGGATTTGGATTTATTCTGATGGCATCTGCTCATGAACACTTCCCTTGATGCTTTCTTAAAGATGATCCTGTCTCTTCCTTCCCCTCACCTCATTGTAGTTGTGTCAGGAAGAACAAAGTGGAGTCCAAGAGGGCACAGACGGTCCTATTCAGAGAAGAGCCATAAAAGAAACTACAGATTCACTTTCACTTCTATTTTTAAAAATATGGCGTCCCTTCCAGTTTTCTATAAATAAGATTAATCTTAGGTATTCTTTGTGACATGTTTAGGCAAAGTAACACATGTTCATTAAGACATATGCCTCATTATCAGGTCTGCCTTATACATTATCAGGTATATTTTGATTAAGTGCTAAGATGGAGAAGCTTTAATTCTCCCAATGTTTATTAAATTGGTCTCCACTTCGTGTTCTGGTGGTGAATTGTCTAAAGAACTAACTTGGCTGGGAGTGGTGGCTCATGCTTATAATTCTAATACCTTGAGAGGTAGAGGTAGGAGAATTGCTTGAGGCCAGGCAGCTAAGGTCAGCCTGGGCAACATAGCAAGACTCCATACCTATGAAAAAATTTTAAAAAGCAGTCAACCGTGGTGGTGCATATCTATAGTCCTAACTACTCAGAAGGCTTGAGGAAGGAGGATTACTTGAACCCAGGAATTTGAGGCTGCAGTGAGCTGTGACTGCACCACTCCAACTGAGATGAGAAAGCAAGACTCCATCTCTAAAGAGAAAGAGAGAACTAACTTAGTTTTATATCACATTATATACATGGCTTGCTCTGCCTTTAGTCTTGAAATGCCTGGAAGATAGAAACTATAGTTCAGGCATCCCCAAACTGAGGCCCGCGGGCCCCATGCGGCCCCCTGAGGCCATTTATCCGGACCCCTGCCACACTTCAGGAAGGGGCACCTCTTTCATTGGCGGTCAGTGAGAGGACAGTATGTGGCGGCCCTCCAATGGTCTGAGGGACAGTGAACTGGCCCCCTGTGTAAAAAGCTTGGGGACGCCTGCTATAGTTCATCTACCTTTGTCTCCTCATAGTGGTTCTGCCACTTTTGGACATTTGGCAATGTCTAGAAACATTTTGGTTGTTACAGCCTGAAGAAGGCTTCTAGTGGGTAGAGGGCAGGAACGTGGTAGACACTCTACATTTCCTACATTGCACAGGACAGCCCCTGCCCCAACAAAGAATTATCCAGCCCAAAATGTCAATAGTATGAAGATCGAGAAAACTCACTTCAGCATAACAGGTAGCATGATATACATATTAAGAAATACCAATTTTTCATACTGTGTTAGAGAGTGAAAGCAACAAACTTATTCCTGTACTATTTTATCTTTACTTTTCTCCTACAACAACCAGCTCATGTCATAAAACTCATAGTTTTGAAAAAATAAGAGAGAGAAAGTTTTAACCCCTGAATTATCCTGCGGATGCTTATCAGAGTGAACAGTGCTGAGTGTTGGTCTTCATTTCATTGCACCTTACTTTCCTTTTGGACTATGACCTGGTGCACACACGTATGTGTAAGCCTAATTACTTTGCCTTTATACTTAGTGATACTTTTGTTTTATTGCATATTTTATTCTATAACTATTTTATAGATAGTTTTGAATTGCTCAACCATTGCATATTGGAGATCTACTCAGGAGTCCTTTGTTGCTGGTTGTACTATGTCATCATAACACAAGTGAAAATTTCAAGAATAACATATTTTTAAAGAATGCATGGATAACCTTAAGTAGAATCGCACCTGTAGGCAAAATCAATTATTTGTAGTAGAGATGAAGAATTGAATACCTTTAGCTAATTACCATGGATAAGCTGTTCTCCCAGCCCTCCGAAGGTGTCTGATTCCATGATTTGCCTGTGATGACTTTGAAAGTTAGGTAAAATTGTAAAATGCAAAAGCCATCAATAAGAAGCAAATTGTTGCAGAGTATCTCTTCCTTATTTGACTGTCTCGGAACTAAATTGAGAAAGCAGTGACATAAGCAAATGTACACCACCTTCCTGACTCATGCCTTTATTGTCTTGTTCTCCAGAGGAGTCCCGATTCAACTGAAGAAAAGCGTGAATAACCCAACCTGTCCAAAACTCTAAAACTTTATTACTTTTAAGTCAATAATTTTTTTCTTCCCAAAATGCTGGAGTCTGGCCTCATTACCTGCTTTCTTCTTGCAGTGATACAATTTCTTCTTGGGATTTTCATGAATGGCATCATTGTGGTGGTGAACGGTATTGACTTGATCAAGCACAGAAAAATGGCTCCAGTGGATCTCCTTCTTTCCTGCCTGGCACTTTCTAGAACTTTTCTGCAGTTGTTCATCTTCTACATTAATCTGGTTGTTCTCTTCTTGATGAAATTAATCGCGTATCCTGAGAGTTATATAATTATCCTGTTTATAAACGAATTGGAAATTTGGCTTGCCACATGGCTTGGTGTTTTCTACTGCACCAAGGTTTCCAGCGTCCCTCACCCACTCTTCATCTGGTTGAAGATGAAGATATCCAAGTTGGTCCCATGGATGATCCTGGGGTCTCTGCTGTATGTATCTATCATTTGTGTTTTCCGTAGCAGATATTCAGAGTTTTTTGTTCCACACAACCTCATGAACTTTTTCTCTCAAAATGACACAATTCAAATAGAAGATATACCTGCTACACAGATTACCTTTTTTGCTGCTGAGCTCTTAGTGCCACTGCTTATTTTCCTTGCTGCTGTTCTGCTCTTGATTTTTTCTTTGGGGAGGCACACCTGGCAAATGAGAAAGACAGTAGCCCGCAGCAGCGTCCCTGGCAGGAGTGGCCACATGAGCGCCTGGCTGTCCATCCTGTCCTTCCTGATCCTTTATGTTTCTCACTATATGATGAAAGCTTTTCTCTGTTCTATAAGGTTTCACGTCAGAAGGTTCATCTTTATGCTCTGCATCCTTGTGATTGGCACATACCCTTCTGGACACTCTCTCATCTTAATTTTAGGAAATCCTAAATTGAAACAAAATGCAAAAAAGTTCCTCCTCCACAGTAAGTGCTGTCAGTGAGAGAACTTTGATCGGTTCAAAAGAACCCATGATTCAATGACTTACCCACGCATGCGACACTTCCCTCAGCCAGACAAAGCAGCCTGTTCATAAATATACAAAACATCCCCTTCAGGCTGTTTATCCAGCCTGAGGTATTTTTATAGATTTGGTACTTTTTCAAACAGTTAAACTGATTCTCAAACACAACATATGTTGATGGATTACATCAATGTCAATATCCTGGTTATGATTTTGTACTGTCATCTTGCAAGTTGTTACCACTGGGGAAAAGTGAGTAAATGGTTTGGGAGTCTTTCCGTATTCCTTCTTAAAAATGCATTCAAATCTACAATGATTTCAACACAAAATGTTTGATGAAAAAGAAAAGCACATGTTTGAACTGGTGATGTCAGAAGGACACATGAATGCTGTATGGTCCATGTCTATCTGATGCCTAGTCTTAGATGGTTTATCCTGACCTTAATGGGCTGACTCTTCGTTTCTTGTCTACCTGGATATGATTTCTGCTCTGTTTGTTGGAGTCACAGGCAGTGGAGCCCTTCATTCTCCTCAGATCACAAACGAAACGAGAACAAGCAGGCCTTCTCCATCCTTATAAGCATATTCTCCTACTTCATCCTGCAGAGAACTTAGATGCCTTAGTGACATGTCCAATCAACTGATAAAAGGGGAGACAGATGGAGGAGGAGGAGGAATGGAGGGCTGAATGCTTGTTTTCCATTTTCCCTAGCTGTGCACTCTGAACAGACAATAACTTGCAAAGATGTTTCATTTTGTATCTGTGTGCCTGACTTTGAGACTCTTTCAACCAAGGATGGTAATTTGGAACTCCTCCTGCATTGCATGTCCTCCCAACTAAGCAACATCAGTAGGTGTGTGAACTGGGGGTGTCTCCATCTGCTTGAAGTCACAAACGCATTTTCTGTTTGATTGATGATGTTGAATACTAAGATGATAGATAGATTAGATAGATAGATAGATAAATAGATAGATAGATAGATAGATAGATAGATAGATAGATGATATAGAGATATAGAGATATTATAGATATAGATACACTTGTATATTTCCAAAACAGCTTCAGAACCCTTTCACTTCCAGACAAATAAATAAAGTAAAAAATGTTCTTAAGCTCAGCTATAACTTGCAGCTCAGGCATGATGGTGCAAAGTAGGCTGAGGTTTAGATTTGTCAATCACCAGTAATAGGATCCCAAATACAGCTTTTCTAAGCCAAGCCACGCAGGCCTGGTTATAATACACCAATGAAGGATTTTGCTTCAGAAGATTCAGGGACGTACTTATCTTCTTGGGCATGGGAACTAAGAGCTGAGGGTACTCTCGACTTCCCACAGGTTTCACATTTCATTTCTCAAGGAGCAAAATAACAGTCTCCATCTTCCTGTCATCTCATATTCCCATGTCCCACTAGGTAGGAAGGTTTGTAGCTAATAGCACACTCCAGAAGCCAGCTGTGGGAAGATCAGTTGTATCCTGGATGTAATTATTTCTTTTGATTGGGGGAAAGGACAAGGAAAAGTCACTTTTATTTTTCCCACATCTCAAGTTCAGGGAATATCCTGTTCCTTGAATCTGTGATATGTGTACCTGAAAGAGTGGGAGTAATTTCAAACATTCAGAGAGAAATTTGTCAGTATACAACTTCCACGTTTTTTTTTTTCTGGTATTAAATTCTGATTCCATTTCAAGCAATTCCAGCTTCAATAATGTTCCCCAATTAGATAAATATTAAGGTATGACGAACATTGTATGCTGTTATCAAGAATTGTTTTAAAAAAGAATTCATAGTAAAACAAACTATTCTAAAAACATTTTCATTGTCTACTTTCCTAGAAGTATATTTCTTCCAGAAACGTTGCCTAGCTGTTGAGTTGATGCGTATTGGGTAGGACACTAATTGCTCAAATTTAGAAGCAAAACAGACTGAGCCTTTGTCTCTCTGAAGCCATGCTTATCTGCACTCTCCAGCCTTGCCAAATTGCTTTTGTCCTCATCGAGCAGTGGGTTGATCTCTATCATGGTGCAACAACTTTTTGTACCCACTCTTGTACTTTTAGAGATGGGGCTGGACATTATGGCCCTGGGGCATCTTGGCTGTGGAATCACATGCCCATAGGTGAGGCCGGCTGACTGCTGATTGCAGGATATGGTGGTGCCACACCTCCTCTACATCCTGTGGCTTCCCAAGGAGATTCAACACCCACTGCTCTGTTAAGTGGCTTCTGGCTGTGGCTTCCAAATAGACTCTGCACCAGGAGGCAGACTCTCACCGAAACGGAACCCAGCAGTCTTATTCCATTCCACTTTAGATCAGGATTCAATGAGCAGTTCCAAATCAGGAGAGAAGGGCTGTGTTACTCTGTCCCACTCTCTATTCTGACATTGGCTCTTTCAATCCCCAATCCCAGGGTTTTTATACAGTCTCCACTGACTGAAGATGATAACAGCAGCAGAAAAGGCTAAATCCATGTGCTGATAGAAGTAGACTTTTAAGAATATAAATGTTGGTCAGCCATGGTGGCTCAAGTCTGTAATCCCAGCACTTTGGGAGGTTGAGGCAGGTGGATCACTTGAGGCCAGGAGTTTGAGACTATCCTGGCTAACATGTCAAAATCCTGTCTCTAGTAAAAATTCAAAAATTAGCCAGGTGTGATGGTGTGCACCTGTAATATCAGCTACTCAGGAGACTGAGGCAGGAGAATCACTGGAATCTGGGAGGCAGAGATTGCAGTGAGTTGAGATTGCACCACTGCACTCCAGCCTGGGTGACAGAGTGAGACTCCATAAAAAAAAAAGGATATAAATGTTGTCATAATTTGAATGTTAAACACAGTTCAAAAGTCTCACAAATGATAAATGCCTTTCAAATTCTCACTCATTCAAATGTGACAATTGCTTGAAGATACAATGCTCCAGACCAGAAGGTGCTGGGTAGACATCTAACGTCTACCATCTGTCCCCAGGCAGCCTAGATGCTTCAGGCAGTTCAAATGTTATGCCCCATAGTATGTTTAAATACAGGCATACTTCTCATGCTATGGATATTCTGATTTTAGGTTTGAAATACATCGTTTCCATAACTTTTGTCCTTGTAGAATTATACCTCTTTGGGTGAGAGGAGAAGCAGGTAGTTAGAAATATGCAAGAGAGAAAGAAACCAGCCAGACCATCGAAATTCACATTGGTAATCAAAGGAGTGACAGATGTTACATAGAGATGGCACCCATAATGGAGAAAAATCCAAATGATGAGGTCTGGGAGACCCACATGTTTTAAAGAGGGTGTTGCTAGTGAAGGAGTTTGGTGTTAGACTGAACATCATATTAACACAAACTTGAGATCAGTAGAAAATTTATTTGTTATTAATATTCTTTGTTACCTAAAAATTATGGACTCTCTAGGAAAACTTTATGCCAAGAGAAGGTTATATACTAGGAAAATTTCCTTAATGAGCTGAAAACATTAAGATTTGGGGGAGAGTCAATACGAATTCAAGATAACTCATGGACATTTGTTTCACTGCTGTCTTCACTGCTGTGTTTCTACACAAAACCAGTCTCTCTCTCACTCATTAATACAGCACCCTATACTGTGGTAGGATTAAAATAACAATTGTTTTTAAGATGTGATATAAACATGTGGGTTCACATCTGTGACATCTGGATCTACTTAATCTTTTTGACTGGGAATCAGGAATTGGTAATTTGTATCCTTAAATGTAAAATGTATTTATATCAATGAAGTGTGGGTCTTCTTTTGTTGTTTCTGGCATTTTATATCATTTCTATTTTGAACATTTCTCCACAAGATCATCAACATAATATTAAATCAAAAATTGACTTAAACTTCTGATGACAGGTCAATTTTTTAAATGACTAAAGATTCATTTTGTTTAAACTTCAACATTTCAGAGGAAAAATGATACGGGGTTACCCTGTTTCTACTTCTGAGGTTGGAATGCATGGTCTTCAGAGAGAGCTTCACTTCCATGACTTAAACTCTCTCCCCTCCATGGATTGGTGTTAAGTACTGCAAGGTAAGCACACACTTAAGTGTGCCTGTTGATGTTGAATTTGGGAGTGTGCCGGGTCTAAGTCCTGCAGCTAGATTCAACTTGGCACTTGGTGGGCAGCACTTGAATAACCCAAATTCCAGAACTGCTGGGGACATTTCAGATTCTTCTGAGGATGAACAGATCAAAAGGCATGTAGAAAATAAACGAGTGGCTAACAGTGGACTTATATCACTAAATACATGGGATGTCCTCTGGCAAAATATCCACCCATTTGAACAGCAGATGCTGCATTTGTGATTGTGAATTAGTAAGCCTTACTTCACTTGAAACCCAGGCTGGTGGCTTCTAGAAATATTGACCAGATATATAGATTTGGTCAGGAAGTTTGGTTTCATGATTAATGTTCTCCAAACTACCACTGCTTATCTGCTAAAATACCTGAAATCCCTGAACTAAGAACTTATGTGTTTGATCATGAGGTATGATGTTTTCAGCAGCATTGGTTGATGATGGGTCTGCAGAAGCAGCTCTGTGGGATGAGAGGGAGCCTTGAGTGTGACATTTTAGATTGGGAGGCTGAGTGGATTTGTGTAGTCCTATTGAAAGACAGGTCATTAGTCCACAGGCAAGCCATACCACTGCGTTCACAAAGCCAACGACACAGTCTCCTCAGCTCTCCTCCCTAGAACCACACCTGTTTATTTTGGTGATTTAGGTAACTTTTGAGCAATGCAGTAAACACTTTAATGAGCTGAGCCTCCATTTCTTCATCTGCAAAATGGGATTAAGAATAATACCTAACACATACTTGGCTAAGCTTCTTCATCATTGTGAGCACAAATGAATGTAACCTCCAGGTAATGGGAACTGTAGTAAGTACGGTCACAAAGAATCTCCAGCAGCCCCTCCAGAGAAGAGGGGAGTGCACAGGAGGGAACACGATGAACAAGAGAGGGTCCTAATTAAGAGCATGATTTGCAATCTAGATCCACCACTAATGAGCTAAGTGACTTGATGAGCCTGCGCCTCACATTTCCTCATCTTTGTAATGGGGTTAGGAGTGATTACAAGCTTAATGAGAGGAGCTGAGGGGTTACTGGAACCAAGTTCCCAGCACGTTGCCTGCATACTGCCATTGTTGTTTTTAGCTATGTTAACTGTAGTGTAGGAAACTGCTAGACTTTGATGACCTTTCGTCTGCAACAATGACAGTTTTGTATGCTTCTTCCTGATAACGTCACAGGTTTTAGAGGACAGCTAATTCTAGAAAAAGGAAACAGCACATGCAAAAATACCTGGCAGAGAAAGGAAGCAAAGACCCCACAGAGAATCATGCACGAGTGAAGAGAGGAAAGGTCAAGGGAACAATTAAAAGGTCTATGGAGCTGCTTTGCTGCAGTACAAAATGGCACCAGGACTGCAGCACCTTCCAGACACAGGCTCATTCTCACTGTGTTGTGTGTTGGCTGTGAGTGTACAGCAGCCCTCTTCCTGTTCACACTGCTGCAGGAGCAGCTCCTGTTTGGGACAGGTTAGGGGAAAGAGTGAAAACGATGGAGAGGGGGAGGTCTAAAGCTTTTGTCATATCCAGTTAGTTGCATGCCAAGCAGCCGAGCCCAATGTAAAAAGGAGAGATATGGAATTCCTGAGAGAAGGGTAGCAAATGTTTGGGAATAAAGTAATCCTACCATATGGGAATATAAAATGGTGCAATCACTATGGAGAGTAGCTTGGCAGTTCCCCAATAAGTTAAATATAGAATGACTACATTACTCAGCAATTCCATTCCTAGATATGCACCCAAGAGAACTGAAAGCAGGAACTGGAACAGATATGTGTACACCCACGTTCACAGTGGCATGATTCACAATAGTCAAAAGGTAAAAGTAAAACAAATGTCCACCAACAAATGAATGCAGAGACAATGTGCATGTTAACACAATGGCATACTCCTAAAAAGGAATTAAGTTTGGATACATATCAGCACATGGATAAACCCTGAGGACACGATGATAAAGAAATAAGTCACACACAAAGGACAAATATTACACAGTTCCATGTATATATGGTACCTAGAGAGGGCAAAATCAAAGAGAGACAAAAAGCAGGATAGAACTTACAAAGTGCTGGGGGCAGGGGGGAATGGGGAGTGACAGCTTAATGGACAGAGAATTTCTGTTTGGAATGTTGAAAACTTCCAGAAATGGTAGTGATAGTTGCACAACTGAAGGCCACTGACTTAAACACTAAAATGGTAAATGTTATTGTGTGTGTATATGTACGTAATATATAACATATATATATCGACAATAAAAATGTAATTCTACCAAAAAGGAAAAGAAGCAGGACCAAGTGTACTTCTACCAGTATATTCTGGCCCTGTTCATGGGGAAAACACAGGTGGCTAAATCTCCATTGTGAATGAACTCATGATTAAACCTCAATTAGTCTTCACCGTTAGAATCAGCTTATGTTTAGGTTAAACTAGCAGGTAAGTATTGTGCACCCAGATTCTCTTAGAATCCAAATAGACAATTACCATTTCAATGTGAACTACTTCTTTTTTCAGAATACACAAGACATTTTACATTGAGCACAAACATGTGCAGTGATTGAAATATAGCAAAAATCAAAAACAAAATAAGTCCAGGACATTGTCTTTAAAAAGAGGCTAGTTTGGCCGGGCGCGGTGGCTCAAGCCTGTAATCCCAGCACTTTGGGAGGCCGAGGCGGGTGGATCACGAGGTCAAGAGATCGAGACCATCCTGGTCAACATGGTGAAACCCCGTCT